CATACTTTCAAAATCTTAGCTAGCAAGCTAGCAGTCATCATCATGAATCAAGTCGACAATGTACTGGCAAATTCTTTTCAATCCTTGTCATATGAAAACAAATTATGAGGACAAATTATAGATAAAACATATCAGTGCTCATCGGCCATTGGACATGAACATTACACAACAAGTAGGAAATCGCATTCAACAATGAGTGGTTGGTAAGGTATCAGTGGCTAACTGTAAGCATCGCAAAGCAATCACTAGCCTGCTATTCAGTGGAGTGGGTGTGTGGTCCAAGTGTGTTTTTTAAAATTATGATATATTCTGTACTTTTACCCCCTTTTTCTCCCCAATTTTGTGATATCCAATTGGTAGTTACAGGCTTGTCCCATCGCTGCAACTCCGCTACAGACTCGGAAAGGCGAAGGTCGAGAGCTATGCGTTCTCCGAAACATGACCCTGCCAAGCTGCACTGCTTCTTGACACACTGCTCGCTTAACCCGGAAGCCAACCGCACTAATGTGTCGGAGGAAACAACGTCCAGCTGCGACCGAGTCAGCTTGTAGGCGCCTGGCCCGCCACAAGGAGTCGCTAGAGTGCGATGGGACAAGGAAATCCTGGCCGGCCAAACTCTCCCCTAACCAGGACGACGCTGGGCCAATTGTGCGCCGCCTCATGGGTCTTCAGGTCAGGGCTGGCTGTGACACAGCCTGGGATCGATCCCGGGTCTGCAGTGCCTTAGACCGTTCAATAAAGGTTTGTTTAGGCTATTATTATCAAATAGTGTAAGAGCTTTCATTGTCTGCTTATATGCCACCTTTATTTATCCTACAGTTCTGACTTGTTGTACAGGAAGAATACTGTAAGAACGGCCCATGTTCTGAATTCTGTCGCTGTACATTTCAAATAGTTATATTGACTACGTCTGTCCTAGCTCGCTTATTAATGTCTTAATCGAAATTACGGATTGCCTCTTATCCGCTCGTCGTCCCCTTATGCCATAGTTTGTACATCTCAATTGTCAGTAGAAACCACATTTGTTTAAGCAAGTCAGCCATATCAGCTATGTCTTTTTAAAAGGCAGTAAATGAGGCTGAATTAACTGTTTCGCTGCCAGACAAGGCTCCGCTGATAGCCAGGTGTAGCAGTGGTAAGGATTCACTCCATGGTGTTGAAAAGAAAGCTCTGCTGTTGGGACAGCTTTATGTAGGCCCTAACAGTTTGTGGGCACGTTTGTCATCGTTATAGTGGAATTAATGTATTGTTTAGAGTTGTGTTGTGTGGTGCCTTTGCTGGCATGCATCTAAAAAAAATTTTTTTGTTTGCCCCACCAAGATTTACAGTGGGGGAAAAAATTATTTAGTCAGCCACCAATTGTGCAAGTTCTCCCACTTAAAAAGATGAGAGAGGCCTGTAATTTTCATCATAGGTACACGTCAACTATGACAGACAAAATGAAAAAAAAAATCCAGAAAATCACATTGTAGGATTTTTTATGAATTTATTTGCAAATTACGGTGGAAAATAAGTATTTGGTCAATAACAAAAGTTTCTCAATACTTTGTTATATACCCTTTGTTGGCAATGACACAGGTCAAACGTTTTCTGTAAGTCTTCACAAGGTTTTCACACACTGTTGCTGGTATTTTGGCCCATTCCTCCATGCAGATCTCCTCTAGAGCAGTGATGTTTTGGGGCTGTCGCTGGGCAACACGGACTTTCAACTCCCTCCAAAGATTTTCTATGGGGTTGAGATCTGGAGACTGTTTAGGCCACTCCAGGACCTTGAAATGCTTCTTACAAAGCCACGCCTTCGTTGCCCGGGCGGTGTGTTTGGGATCATTGTCATGTTGAAAGACCCAGCCACGTTTCATCTTCAATGCCCTTGCTGATGGAAGGAGGTTTTCACTCAAAATCTCACGATACATGGCCCCATTAATTCTTTCCTTTACACGGATCAGTCGTCCTGGTCCCTTTGCAGAAAAACAGCCCCAAAGCATGATGTTTCCACCCCCATGCTTCACAGTAGGTATGGTGTTCTTTGGATGCAACTCAGCATTCTTTGTCCTCCAAACACGACGAGTTGAGTTTTTACCAAAAAGTTATATTTTGGTTTCATCTGACCATATGACATTCTCCCAATCCTCTTCTGGATCATCCAAATGCACTCTAGCAAACTTCAGACGGGCCTGGACATGTACTGGCTTAAGCAGGGGGACACGTCTGGCACTGCAGGATTTGAGTCCCTGGCGGCGTAGTGTGTTACTGATGGTAGGCTTTGTTACTTTGGTCCCAGCTCTCTGCAGGTCATTCACTAGGTCCCCCCGTGTGGTTTTGGGATTTTTGCTCACCGTTCTTGTGATCATTTTGACCCCACGGGGTGAGATCTTGCGTGGAGCCCCAGATCGAGGGAGATTATCAGTGGTCTTGTATGTCTTCCATTTCCTAATAATTGCTCCCACAGTTGATTTCTTCAAACCAAGCTGCATACCTATTGCAGATTCAGTCTTCCCAGCCTGGTGCAGGTCTACAATTTTGTTTCTGGTGTCCTTTGACAGCTCTTTGGTCTTGGCCATAGTGGAGTTTGGAGTGTGACTGTTTGAGGTTGTGGACAGGTGTCTTTTATACTGATAACAAGTTCAAACAGGTGCCATTAATACAGGTAACGAGTGGAGGACAGAGGAGCCTCTTAAAGAAGAAGTTACAGGTCTATGAGAGCCAGAAATCTTGCTTGTTTGTAGGTGACCAAATACTTATTTTCCACCATAATTTGCAAATGAATTCATTAAAAATCCTACAATGTGATTTTCTGGATTTTTTTCCCTCAATTTGTCTGTCATAGTTGACGTGTACCTATGATGAAAATTACAGGCCTCTCTCATCTTTTTAAGTGGGAGAACTTGCACAATTGGTGATTGACTAAATACTTTTTTCCCCCACTGTACATGCTAAAATCGCCCACTGCTTGTGAGACTCTCCATGCTCATTAGTTGCTTCAACATATTTGCTGCTCACTCAATCTGGTTTTCAAGTCTCCCTTCCTAACTGTTTTACATTGGCTGAAACCAACCAGAAATGTTACCCTGGCCAAGTATTCCCAGATTTTCATAAAACAGCCACACATTTGATCTCTCGTTTCTGTATGACCAAATTTTGTGTGAGGCAAAGGATTAGCCTATAGGCCCATGTCAATTCCTTTCGGTGCAGCGGAAGGGGGATTTTGGGGCAGGGAGGGAGGGGGGTGCTGCCCCAAAAAAGTATTAATGTAGGCGACACTGTCCCGCAAAATCATCCCTTTGTCCCGCATTTGGGTATTTTAAATGTGGTCATCCTATGCACAGAATATGAGTGTGCAGCTCCTTGGTTTATGTGCTTGCCTTTGGGGAGATGACGTCAGTTTATACTGTTCAACAGCAAACAACAACAATGACCACATCCATGGAATTGTGACATGTATTTATTTTGTTACAGTAAGCAAGAACAGTCATAACATGTATTCTATAATTTTCAGAGAAAACCATAGTTTTTACTGTAAAGTAGACTGAGGTGAGAAGCATTGACAAATGCAGTGTGTTGGAAGTCATAATGACTATAGTGGTTTGGATGAAGATTGATCCATTCTAGTGGACATTCAGTTAGAGAGTTGTGACTGGATAGAGCCAGCCTAAACAGGCATTGACTTGTACTTGCATTTATGAATGAGTAATGAGTAAACAATTCGTTTCTAGAGGACACCAGGTATGTCCAGAGCACTCACAAACACATACATCCACACCCACACATACGACACACCTGTGCAGACAGACACACATAGACAACCACAAGAGTGCACAAACAAGTACACACACACTATAAATAATTTCTTATGAACTTTATCTCTGCAGACTATTGTTGAGCTGCAGTAAACAGTCATGTCAGTTTTAAAAAAAACCATACAAAATAATGCTCAAGATAAACACTGAACAGAACATCTAAAGAGAACAGGTGATGGACACCTGTAACATGCTCCTTCTGATCCTCATTCACAATTCAGTTTCATATTATGTGCAAACAGCAGTACAGAGGAAAGAAAAATTAATTATCATTCATCATCTCAATATTTTTGCCTTTCATTTGAACAAGTGGGGCACATTTTATTTCTTTATGGTACGATTTACAAATATAATCTTTCATATAACCCATGGTGGAAGATGCACTCGAAAGATCATTCCGTTTTGCTATGAGAAACATGGTTAATCTCCCCAGCATTTGTCTCTGGTCATCTCTAACATGACCTGACAGAGGCAGCAATCAGTTCATCAGCTGCCCAAACACACTCCCTCCCAGACAGACAGACTGGATGTCCTCTCCCCAGATCCCAGCCCAGGGCAGCCCGACCCAGAACCTGCCAGCTGAGGCTCACTCAGAGGTTCACAGCCTCATCGGGGCTGCTCTACTTGGAAAATAAAAACTATTCTTTGATGAATGGGAATCTGGTGAATTAAAACCATCTGTTCTGAAATCAGCGTTTAGTCAATGTTGTGTGTTGTGCAATAAAACACAGCAGCATATTTATGCAAACAAAACCTCCCACTGTGTCATCCAGTCTGCATGTGCTACATGAAAGTACATTAGAAAAAAAATATGTGACATTAGAAAGCCAAAACAATCAGGTGAAATCTAATCTGTCTTGTTCTTGTTGTTTAAGATTCCTTTGCTCATAAAGAATGACATTCGCAGGACGACACAGTAACAACGTCACTGCAGTGCCTAGGATACCAATGTCTGTACCAACAAAATAACTGTACGTTTTCCTGAAACTGGCTTGAGGTCTCTGCAATCGGAACATACAAAGGGACAACACAACACAGTGTTTTCTCCTAGTGGGTGTTTTATGAAAATGCTGACCCCAAGCTTCTCCTGTCATGATGACGCATGCTGACACGGGAGACAGGACTCAGGGCAAGGTGAGGGTACAGTAGGGTACAAAGGTTTGTCAATACACAATGCTCAATGGTTGCGCTGGCTCTGACCCATCACCTCTCACAGTAGTGCAGAGCCACATTCGTAGATATAACCTTCCCCCCAACACCCCACGCCTCCAGCTCCAGTTTATCCTCATCCTCTTCCCCCTCCCCCTCCTCCTCCTCCTCCCTCTTTCCCCCCTCTTCCTCTTCATACAGGCTGGGTTCTTCAATAGAGGTCTCCAGGGTATAACTACTATAGACCTGCACCTCGCTGTACTCATAGATGGTGGGCAGGCTGCTCCGGAGGCCGAAGCGTCTGCGCAGGGCCACTAGGAGAGGCTGTGGCACGGTGAAGATGTCCACGTTGTTGCCCAGGTCCACCCAGGCCAGGCTGGGGAACTGCAGGGGGTTCTTCACCATCTCCATCAGGTCCTTCAGCACGCCCACCGTCAGACGGTTGCCGTTGATTGCCAGGGTGGTAAGTTTGGGCATGGAGCCCAGGTGGGGTAGCAGCAGACGCAGGCTCTCGTCCTGCAGCTCGGTGAAGCTGAGGTCCACGGCCGACACAAAGTCGCCGTTACTTTGGAGGTAGTAGGCCACCCGGTGGACGTCTCGGCCAGACAGAGGGATGCCAGACAGGTTGACCATGTCGTTGGTCAGCTTCTTCTTCAGTGTGGTTTTAAGACTGTGAAAGGAAAGACCAGAGACGGTTAGAAACTACACAAAGAATATAATTGAAAAGCCAATCTTGTATGCAAGTTGTTTTGGTTCTCAGACTCTAGAGCACAGAATAGCCATTTAGTATACATGATAACGAAGCTGAGACCAAGCATCCTATATTGGCAGATAGGTATCCTCTAGCGTGTGAAAACAAATGATCTTAACTTAATGAGCCTGTCTTTATCGATGTACAGAGAGCCCTGTTATGGGGGACTATGGATGTTGTTTAACATGACACGGGAACAGAGGTCCCACTGCAACCAGGCAATAAAAACAGAATGTAAGAGAATTGGGAGAATTGTTTTGAGAAGTGTTTTTGGTGAATGTCATGTATTAGTGTGTGTTTCTCTCTCTCCCTCTCTCCCACCCTCCCTTCTTCCCTCAGAACAGCCCAAAAAATTCAAAAAGTCACTTTCCACAGGGCACGGCTGACATTGGCTATACTGTCCCTTTTCCACAGAGCTGTCAGTGGGCAAAGAGGCATCAAACTGGCACTGCTGACAATGTGATTTACTCAACCCTATCTCAGCATATAGTAGAAGAGCAATCTGTTTTAAAAGAAGATGGAATCTGTGGTGATGGCAAATTAAGGATATGGCATTTAATGATCATACCAATCTTCAAATGACTGGACTAGTGAAATAAAAAATAAAACTGTATGGAGAGTTCAAAGTAAATGGAGAGTTCAAAGTGTATGGAGAGTTCAAAGTGTATGGAGAGTTCAAAGTGTATGGAGAGTTCAAAGAGTGGTGCTACTGGACCTCTGTCTCTGTCATGGTGCATCATCACATCCCTCACTAGCTCTGAGACTATACAGAATAGAGGCACTAAACAAAAACCTGCTCCCTGCCATAGTCTGATTAAATATTCATTTGAAAGCTCTGAGGCAGCTGTACCGTGCGGAGGTGGCACTGAAGTGCAGGACTCTAGATGTGTCATGGAAGAATATGTTATGGATTTGGGGCGAGGGTTGAGCTCCCTGCTCTAGTCTCCAGCAGGACATTACAGTAGGAGGAAGTCAGGGGGAGGAAGTCTTTAAAACAATTGACAATGACAAAGTGGGCATGGAGAGAGATTTCCATATAAATACAGCATTTCTGTAGTTCGCTGGGAGGATGTACTAGGTTACACTCCAGACGTGTACACTTTAGCCTGAGGTCCCTCCCTCTCCTCTTAGTCACAGTCCTGTTTTCCTGGGGTTTGAACCCCCTCTCCTCTCCCCTCCTGCTCCTAGGTTGTGTGGGAGCAGGAGCTTCATAAATGGGCTGCCTGTGGTCCTCACATCTGTCAGCCTATCTGCTCTGGAGCAGCCAGGGAAAGGCCCGCAGCAGCTAACTGGAGCTCAGATTTGAGAGGTTATTGATTCCTCGAGTGGGCTATAATTCAACTCCCTCTCTCTACTTCCTACTCTCGCTTTCCCTCCTTCCCTCGATCACCATCCATTCCACTCTCCCTTCCTCTGCATTCCCAGTCTGGGCTGCTCTCTTGTTATTTTGCTCTGTATGTTGTAAGATCTGTTTTTATTTTGCTATCCTTTTCTCTCTAATAACCCCTAAGGATTAGAATGGCAAGCTGATTTCCCCATAGGAATATAAGGTGTACTCTGCCACTCCTCTATATGGTAATAAACCTCATTGGCATTGACTGGTTGCTCCTTCACTCTCCCCTCTAAATGCCAGGGAGCCCCATCTGTCTCTCCCTAGTTCTCCTCAGCAGAGTGGCTCTGGGGCTTTTGCTTTGTGCAAGATCTGCAAGATGTAGGCTACACCTCCTGAGCCAACAGAGCCATGCATCAACTTTCGTTTTGTGTTGTGCTGTATTTTGGCAGCTTGAGGGCTCAGAGGATGTGGGTATTTCCCAGTTCCTGCTGGAGCATCCTGCTTTCTCAGCTCACTGTGTGGGCGGAGAGAGAGAGAGGAGAGATAGAGGGGGGAGTAGAGCAAATGGGGGGGGGGGGGGGGGGTAGGAAGAGAGAAAAAGAGAGTACAGAGAAAGAGCGAGAGAGAGAGAGAGAGAGAAATAAAGAAGGAAAGAGCCTGTTGAAGTTCGACTGCGACGGGGCGTGTGGGTGGCGTAGGGGAATATTCTCTGTACTATTGTTTTAATGAGGCTGAGCAGCAGAGTCGGTCTCAGACCGCCATCCAAATCCAATGCCTCCCAGCAAGGTGGGCAGAAAGCCACCCACAGGCCTAGGGCTCCGCTTGGTTCGGACTCATGGGCACAGCCAACCTTTCTCACTGCCCGTTACCATGAAAAGATAAAATAACATAAACAACAAAAAGTATTCTCTCTTGTTCTAATTTAATGTACCCACTTTGCTTGTGGCCAGCAGTATCATTCTACTTGGACCGGCAGTTTCTACAACATAAACAAAACAAAGAACTTCAAAGCAGCTTTTGTCTGCATAATAAGTAAGATGCATCTCAAGAACACTGAGCTTTTCCTGTATTAGGTCTCATTTAACAGCAAATGAGCGAGGGATATCCATCTATCCATTCCATCAAGAGGGAATTGATACTGCAGCACAGGAACCTAAATGAGAATGGACCCTCCTTTGTAAAGATATTAGCTGGTTTAATATACGTTAAGTCCCTTATTTAGGGGACTTTGAGCGGTTCTGGACCGGTTCTGGACAACATTTATGTGTACAGAGGACTCTGTAAACGGCGCAACATCAATTGCTGTGCACTCCGTGAACACTCTGGTTGTCCCTCTCCACATGCCGCTCTCCGCTCTCAGCTGAGATGCAGTATGTGAAATCTGACACCTCATTTGCATAGGGAACAACACATTTTCTGGCATAGCCAGACAAAGGATCGATTTCCTCTGGCTGTGAACCTTACAGCTCTGCTTGCAATCCTGCACATGAAACGGAGAGCCTAGCGATTGCAGATAAAGCAGTCTCATCTCACTGTAATGTTCTCAGATGGATTTAGAGCTCACAACATGAAAAAATACAAAATAATTTAGTTGAATTGAAACAAGACCACTTTCTCTTGGTCACAGAGGGACGAAATCACTTCGTGCGTAAAGCTGAAATTATATCGAGTCATCAGCCATGTGACACTCTGGCTCCATGGACTTTGATTATTGAGCCAGGGTTGTTCAATTTCATTGTTTGGGTGTATTTCTATGTTGGGGATTCTAGTTGTTCATTTCTATGTTGGGTGATTGTTCTTGATTAGTCATATGACTCCCAATCGGAGGTAACGAGTGTCAGCTGTCGGCTCGTTATCTCTGATTGGGAGCCATATTTAAACTGTGTGGTTTCTCCTTGGTTTGTGGGTTTTTGTTCCTTTTCAGTCAGTGTTACTGTTGGACTTCATTGAGTCGTCTTTTGTTTGGTTACGTTATTTCAATAAAGTCATGTTTCTTGGACACGCTGCGCTTTGGTCCGCTTCCTCTATTAACGACGACCGTGACAGAAAAACCCACCTTCAAAGGACCAAGCAGCGTGTCAAGCGGCAACAGGACCCAGCTCCAAAGGCTTCCTGGACATGGGAGGAGATTTTGGATGGAAAGGGGTCCTGGACTTGGGAGGAGATCCTGGATGGGATGGATCGCCGTCCATGGAGCGAAACGGTGGAGAGACGACGGCGAGAGGAGCAACGGCGTCAGCAGGGCCATCATCGTTGGAAGGACGAGAGGCAACCCCAAAAAGTTTTTTGGGGGGGGCACATGGCTTGGACGAAGGGGCTAACGGAGGCAGAGAAGGGGCGAATTCAAGAGGCAACCAGGTTACGGGGGTCACTGGCCAAAGTAGGGAAAGGAGATGTAGAGGCACGGCGTGAGAGACTGAGGTGTGTATCCAGTCCGGTCCGGCCCGTTCCAGTTCCCGGGGTAGAGCCAGTGGTGTGTGCCTCCAGTACGGTCCGGCCTGTTACGACCCCTCGCACCAAGGATACGGTGCGCTTCGCCAGCCCGGCCCGGCCTGTTCCGGCCACTCGCACCAGGGATACGGTGCGCTTCGCCAGCCCAGCCCGGCCTGTTCCGGCCACTCGCACCAGGGATACGGTGCGCTTCGCCAGCCCAGCCCGGCCTGTTCCGGCCACTCGCACCAGGGATACGGTGCGCTTCGCCAGCCCAGCCCGGCCTGTTCCGGCCACTCGCACCAGGGATACGGTGCGCTTCGCCAGCCCGGCCCGGCCTGTTCCGGCCACTCGCACCAGGGATACGGTGCGCATCGCCAGCCCTTTCCCACCAGTGCCTACACCACGCCCCAAGCCTCCTGTGTGTCTCCCGAGTCCTGTGCGTCCTGTTGCTGCTCTCCGCACTAGGCTTAATGTGAGTCCCCAGGGTCCAGCATGCCCTGTTCCGGCTCTCCGCACTAGCCCTTATGTGCGTTCCCAGGGTCCAGCATGCCCTGTTGCTTCTCCCCGCACTAGCCCTGAGATGCGTGTCCTCAGCCCGGTACCTCCAGTTCCGGCACCACGCATCAGGCCTACGGTGCGTCCCCAGGGTCCAGTATGCCCTGTTGCTTCTCCCCGCACTAGCCCTGAGATGCGTGTTCTCAGCCCGGTACCTCCAGTTCCGGCACCACGCACCAGGCCTACGATGCGCCTCAGACGGCCAGAGTCTGCCGTCTGCCCAACGGGGTCTGAACTGTCCGTCTGCCCAACGCCGTCTGAACTGCCCGTCTGCCCAACGGGGCCTGAACTGTCCGTCTGCCCAACGCCGTCTGAACTGCCCGTCTGCCCAACGCCGTCTGAACTGTCCGTCTGCCAAGCGCCGCAGGAACTGCCCGTCTGTACTGAGCCTGCAAAGCCGCCCGTCTGCCATGAGCTTTCAGAGCCGTCCGCCAGACCGGAGCCGCTAGAGCTCTCCGCCAGACAGGAGCAGCCAGAGCCTTCCGCCAGACAGGATCAGCCAGAGCCTTCCGCCAGACAGGAGCAGCCAGAGCCTTCCGCCAGACAGGATCAGCCAGAGCCTTCCACCAGACAGGATCAGCCAGAGCCTTCCGCCAGACAGGATCAGCCAGAGCCTTCCGCCAGACAGGATCAGCCAGAGCCTTCCGCCAGACAGGATCAGCCAGAGCCTTCCGCCAGCCAGGATCCGCCAGAGCCGTCCAGCCAGGATCCGCCAGAGCCGTCCAGCCAGGATCCGCCAGAGCCAGCCAGCCAGGATCCGCCATTCAGTCCGGTGCTGCCCCTTAGTCAGGTACTGTCCCTTAGTTCGGTGCTGCCCCTTAGTCCGGTGCTGCCCCTTAGTCCGGTGCCGCCCCTTAATCCAGTGGGGTTTAATTGGGGGGTGGTCAGGTGGAGGGGGCTACGGAAGCGGATAGTGACTAAGGTGGGGTGGGGACCACGACCTGGGCCAGAGCCGCCACCATGGACAGACGCCCACCCAGACCCTCCCCTAGACTGTATGCTGGTGCGCCCGGAGTGCGCACCTTTAGGGGGGGGTACTGTGACACTCTGGCTCCATGGACTTTGATTATTGAGCCAGGGTTGTTCAATTTCATTGTTTGGGTGTATTTCTATGTTGGGGATTCTAGTTGTTCATTTCTATGTTGGGTGATTGTTCTTGATTAGTCATATGACTCCCAATCGGAGGTAACGAGTGTCAGCTGTCGGCTCGTTATCTCTGATTGGGAGCCATATTTAAACTGTGTGGTTTCTCCTTGGTTTGTGGGTTTTTGTTCCTTTTCAGTCAGTGTTACTGTTGGACTTCATTGAGTCGTCTTTTGTTTGGTTACGTTATTTCAATAAAGTCATGTTTCTTGGACACGCTGCGCTTTGGTCCGCTTCCTCTATTAACGACGACCGTGACAAGCCATTTCAATGGCGTCTCTGTTATTGGTAATGGTGAGATGTTAGCATGTCTTGGGGTTATGATCTTTGTAACTTTCTCACTCAACATTATTCACGATTCAATCAGGATTATCTGTAATCATGGTAGCATTCACATTAATCTTTAGAAACATATTATATTCTTATTTAAAATAAAAGTGACTACAAAATGACACAATACATGATTTACCATTAATTTCTATTGGGCACAAAATAATCTGAAACACAACCAAAGCTAACTGAAAATATATCCAACAAGTTTGTAGAGTCACAAGCTTGATGTAGTCATTGCGTGCTGGGAATATGGGACCAAATTTGTTTTTATTACTTGTTAAACACATTTATTTCTCTGAGGTATTAGTATAAACAAATATAACTAGAAAGCATTTCAATAATTTCAAGCCCTATTCCCCCACTTTTGTTGAATAGGAAAGAAATCATAAGGTTTTTCATATTTTCATATTTGTACTTGAGCTTGTGTCTTCAAAAGTGACTACACCTCAGCAATTTATAACTATTTTGACCAGAAAGGTGAGATTTTTAATCTTTCTGGCAGTATAAGCATTACTAGGTATTGTTTACGGCCCTCTCATGATAAATAATTACTTTTGGTTATGTCTATTTATGTGGAAATCTACATTTTGATATTACATTTGACAGGATAATGTAGGGTTAGCTGCTCTGGCTGATTGCTTTTCATAGTTGTTCTTTCCTATAGGAAATAGTCCTATTTTTAATAAGGATGACTATGGACCCTCATTCTCATTATATGACCATCTATGTTATCTATTGAGGAAAGGGCTGTAAAGTCTATGGTAAGATATCCTCAAAATCAAACACGGGGGCATAAAGCTGAGATCTAAAGCCAGAACTATATCTTTATCAGCTTCTAACGCTCTCAATAAACAATCCATTCAGTGAAATAGGGTGAGGCCATCACCTGTGATTTAGTGTCAGTTTAAACAGCTCTGGGTTGAGATCATACAGGCTAAGTTATGGTAACATCCATTTCAAGACCTGCCGCCACAAATCCAGAGATTTACAGGGTGAGACAGCCTCTGCCTCTACAGTCACAACAGTCATGTGTCAGCCAGAGGAGCTCTCTTCATGCAACCCCTATTCCCTGTTTCAGCACACATCAACGTTCATGTGGGCCCCGTGTAGCTCAGTTGGTAGAGCATGGCGCTTGCAATGCCAGGGTTGTGGGTTCGATTCCCACGGGGGGCCAGTATGAAAAATGTATGCACTCACTAACTGTAAGTCGCTCTGGGTAAGAGTGTCTGCTAAAATGTGAATTTGTATTCAGGATGTTGGTGTACTGTGTAAGTGTTGCTTTTAAACTCTGGTAGTTAAGTTAATTCTGGTCACTTAAACTCCTTTCTGTCTTCTTGGCTGTACTGATAGCAATTCCAGTAAAGACCTTAGCGGACCCATTGATTTCTTTCTTCACCTTCACCCTTTCTCATCCTCTCCTTTAATCTCTACCACTCTACTACTGTCTGCCAGGGTAATTTTAGACCCACTGAGGCTAATGGCTATGTTCAGTGTAGCCTCTCTCCAGGTGGACAGAAGGTAAGTGGTCATCAGCATTGGCCTTCTTTGTCCCGCCCAATTATTTATCCTCAGGAAAACCCTGGCATGACTTAACTCTCTCAAAGGTACGCAATATATCTGTAAATGGGAAAGTGGGGGATGAACATTTCTGTCACCACGAAAACTTGTTTTGGAAAGAAATGTGGTAAACTTTTAGCAGACACTTTTCACACAACACCTAAAGCATCTGGGGGTGGGTGGTGAGTGATAAATGCAAATGTATGGGGAATCTTGAAATCTGTCCACCCACATAGAATACACATTCCCCTTCATTTACCCCCATAAATCAGTAATGCATAGAGAGTGGATATAGACTAATTCCTACTGAACGGTTTTTGTGCACTTAAATATCCAAACGGTGGGATGACTCAGTCTCATTTGATAAATGTAAGGAGTTGCAGTGAGGGATGTGGACTTACAGAAACTCATGCTTAGACATTTACTATACAGTACATTTACATCATTTAGCAGACACTCCAGAGCGACTTACAGGAGAAATTAGGGTTACGTGCCTTCTGTTTACTGGTCCAATGCTCTTAACCGTTAGGCTACCTGCCACCGTAGCAGGACACTCCAGCAATATGCTAGAAAAGCTGCTCAGGCATAAATAATATGCACTATGTGAGTCTCTCAGGGAACTGGGAAGAGGGCCTAGCTAGGTAATACAAATTAAAATGTCCTCCGGTCGGCTACACTTCAGCTGAGCATGCAAAGACACACTTGACTCATTTCATGCCGAATGAAATAAAGGCACTTGAGAAACATTGGATGTGGAATGCGATCCCAGAGGCCCGGTGGATCTGGCTGGATCAATGTCTGCTTCATCAACGCTTTGGTCCTGAGTTCCTGAGTTGTTTATTCACGATATCGATCCAGGTTGTTTTGCCTCTGGGTATCTGTATTATAAATGGTGGATGGTCTGGGTTGGCTGAGCCTAACTAATCTATTCTTTCAACACCAAACCAGGAGTGGAATTCTCTCATTGTGCTGTTTTTTATCCTTTCTTTCAGTCTGTTGGCTAGCCAGGGGGGCACTGGCGAGATAGGGCACAGATTCATTGGCCTGGGTGGTTTTAAAAGAGGACACCACAGAGAAGCTTTTCAGAGTGAAAATATTTTACAACATTTTAGTACTGCTGCTGGGCCCGTTGCACAAATGGATGTGCATGCAATGATTCAGAACTTTGCCACAGGGCCTTGGAAGCTAATATCGAACAACAAGTTTGGTTCGAGCCAAGCTATCATTCCGATTGGGCACGCATACGATCATACACACACAGGCTTTCACCCCTAAACCCACCCACCCACTACTAAGTAAGCCTCATCCAACAGTCTCTGAAGGAGTCCTCTCCTTCCACCAACCCTTCATGATCCAGCTCTATGGGACCCCCCAGGCTTTTCCACAGGTGTTGCCAGGGTGCTTGAATTAGCCCAGAGAAGGGCACTGTGGTCTCAGAGGGAAGGGAGGGGCAGAGTGTCTCAGTGCCAACCAACGCCTCCTTCCCTCCACTAATCCGCCAATCAGCCACTCTCATGGGCCCTCCTGACACCAGCACGCCACCGGGTTCCCCTAGCACAGGCTGGAGTGGCAGCTCAGCGCAGCGTGCAACGACATGCACCACAACACAACAACGTGAGGGAACACAACACAACATGAAGGAACACACGTACAGTAACACAATGCAAGGTAAAGCAAAGCCATGAACTATAAACCGTAATAACCTTTCTCCCACACTCACTGTTTCCCTCTCTCTAATGTCTAATAGGATCTACTGTATCTGTACTAAGTTCACAAAGGGATTTTAAAAAATCAAATTAATAAAGTTAATCATTGACAGTGGCTTACTCAGTATCTAGAGCTACAGATGTTAAGACATATCTCTATACCTGTCTGTGAGCATGTACTCTACACTCTTAGACAAATCTTGTGCTATCTAGAACATAAAAGGGTTATTTGGCTGTCCCCATAGGAGAACCCTTTGAAGAACCCTTTTCGGTTCCAGGTAGAACCCATTTGGATTCCATGTAGAACCCTTTCCACAGAGGGTTCTACATGGAACCCAAAAGAGTTCTACCTGGAACCAAAAAGGGTTCTCCTATGGGGACAGCCAAAGAGCCACTTTGGAACCCTTTTTTCTAAGAGTGTACGAAAAAAACAATTGTAGAGGTACATTATTTGCCATGTTTTCAGTTTCCAACTAAAGCTGCATGGAAAAGGGTTTGCATTACATAACTGTAACTGGACCCCAGGAAGAGTTGCTGCTGCTTTAGCAGTAGCTATTGGGGATCCTAATAAACTACTAAATACTAAATCATGGAAGACTGCGCCCCTGTCTGCAATGTCAAGGCACGGTTATGAAACCAACATTAAAGTGCAGCATTCCAAAGGGAGACAGTGGTGCTTGATGGTAGTTGGGAGGCAATGGGGATTTGCTCTATGTAAAAGTCAGACCAGGCAGCAACAGAAATGCTCTTTGATTCATCTTTCAGGTTTTCAATATTTTCAACATGTAACAAGTTTTTTCCTATGCAAGACCCAAATCAAAAGCTCTAATATCAGATCAATACGTTTTCACAGATATACAGTGGGCTCATTGGGAAATGTGTCATGAATTATGGATAAGGACCATGGCTGAGTCCTTAAGTCTCTCTACAAGGTGGAGGTTAGAAATTGAGATTGATTGGATTATCTAGAGTATACAAGAAACTAGAACAACTACTTAATCTATAAGAGGAGGAGACAATTATACTAAATCAAATGGGTAGGGGATAGACAACTTGAGGCAATGACATACCAGTCTGTGACCTACTAAGACATTTCCCTTGTTTATTCTCCATTTCATGTATTTCATTCTAAGTAAGCATTTCACTCTACTCTAAAAGGAACTCTATATTTAGATTTCTGTTTTCCTCCCACATATTGTTTACTCATTTCACCTCCTTTTCTCACCTTGAGCATGTCTCTCAGGTTATTAAAGGATCAGGAGAGATGAGTCAGAGTTGTCGTGACCTTTATGTAGATAGACCTCAGGGGATGCCTGCCGAGACAGTTGACACTGGGGCAACAGGCAGATGAGTGATGTAAATAAATAAATGAAGGAGAAGTGCTTCAGTATCATGAACAACTTTGGCCTAGACTCTTAAGTCTGCTGGAGTCACTGAACCATGGTAGTGATACAACAGGTAGTGGTAGCAATAGCATGACAGAACGCTGTTGTGCTCCTGAGCATGGTAGCTAATTAACCTGAACTGCCTGAGTAAATCAATGTCAATTTGTATATAATACTGCATGCTTAGCTGAACAGGCAAGCCAATGAAAAGCATACTACAATGTCCTTGTGAGTGTATGAGTGAATTCGAGGGACAAAAATAGGCAAGAAAGACCAATTAAGTTACATTGCATGGGATGTGCAAAAGTAACCTTGGCAGTATCTTTTTTTACTCTGTAAAATTGCCAGTCAATCAAACGGGGCTTGACACGTGCTGAGTTGACTCAAACCCTACCTACACCACCTGCCTTGGATAAACCTGTTACCTCATGTCACCGCCAGAGTGTATGTGGATGTGTGTAGATGTCTGGGTGTGTGTGTGCAAAGGTTTGTGTGTACTGTAAGTGTGCCAGCAGTGTGCTAGGGATAGCAGTGAGGAACAGGCTGTCAAATGCGTGCTTAGTACTATATGTAACCTAATCGTCTGACCCTGTAGCCTGTGTCTGGGTCAGATATCAGAGCCGCTGGCGGACAGCCTCACGTGTAGCAGACAGATGGAGTCAGAGTGGGTATATTATATTCACCCACATCCACAGCTGATAACGCCAGGGTTGTTGGTTCGATTCCCACGGGGGGCCAGTATGAAAATGTATGCACTCACTAACTGTAAGTCGCTCTGGATAAGAGCGTCTGCTAAATGACTAAAATGTAAATGTAAAATAAGACCTGTGCTAACAGCCGACAGCCATAAAGCATTCAAAGCAGGTATCTTACTTTTTTCACCATTCACCTAAAGCTGATAATGCTTTCTATTGGGATACTTGGACAACCATTGACCCATGCAGCTGATAAAGCTTCTTAATTCTGAGTTTAGTATGAATGTAGTACCATATAAAGTCCTAAAAAGAATAGCCCCAAAGTTATATAACTTTATGTGAACAATTGGGTTAGAAGTAGAACCATGTATATATTTACTGTGCATGCAAACACAGTATAGAGAATGTAACTCATATCCATTGACTTCATTTATAACTTTCAAACTCTCATCAGCTAGTACTGTGCAATGCATTTATTACTACATGGGAAATGTTGTCTTACGGTATGCACTAAATTGGCTGCAGGCAGTGCTTCTTCCTATTTATATTGAGCTAGATTCATCATTGGATGTTGTCAATGGTTGCCTGGCAGTAAAGACAAGTAATGAAATAACATCTGCTATTTGAGCGCAATCCTCTCCGATTGTGCTGGAAGAGCAATTTCAGTGTAATAAAGAATGTGGAGATGATTAATTTGAAATCCAATGCAGATTTAAAAAACATTATAAACATGTTCAGGGGGACTCAGCAAATTAATTGTAAGGAGGACCCTATAACCTGCTATTGCGGACAAGAATCGAATAGACTTTCAACTCTCCTGGGACACGATTCCAAACAATAAAGGACAAAATGGCTCTACACCTTACACAGTGTTCTAAGACTGAGCTGACTGAAGTAAAAAAGCAAGGTCTGGATTTCATTTTTATGCATGAGCTCTGAAACTAATAGAATGGATTCTATTCCATCTCTTCTGTGAAAATAATTACATTTTCTGTTGCTGGAAATCATGCTATTGCACATGTAATAAGTATTTTATTTCCTATACATGAGAGAACAGATCTATAGCTGTAACCTATTTACTGTAAGACGAGGTGGGAGGAATGAAAGAAACACAGGGGTTCTAATGGGTAACCTTGCAGTGTCGCCTCTCTCTTTCTTTTCTTCCTTTCTCTTCGCTCTCTCCCTCCCTCCTC